TAACACGTGGCCCGATTTTAACGAAACTTGTTTTATTCTGTTTCTATTCTCATTTCATTATAAATATGGTACTGTTACAGAGAAGCAAACAAACAATCTCAGAGTTTTAGTAGCACATATATATATCAAGTTTAGCACGATTCACATTAAAACAAGTTTTTGATTTTCTACTAAAAGTTAAATTCTTTCCCTTTTATAAATACGCCCCCAGTGGCACAGCGGTGTGTCTGTAGACTTACTACGCTAGAAACCGGTTTCGATGCCCATGGTGGGCAAAGCATTGAGTAGCTTTGTGCTTAATTTCAAACAAACAATTTATAAATACAGTAGTATATGTTTGAAGTTTATCAAAATAAGTTATTAAAACACTACTTTTTACAATGTCTGCAGAATAAATATGTCGATGCGAAGTATTAGTTTAGCTTTAAACACAACGTTCAGTGAAGCTGTGAATTAAACGATCGGGCCACTGTAACTTTTGTAAAACCAAACAGACTGGACTGAAGATTTTGATCTTTAGAAAGTAAATAATAGAAATATATACGTATATAGCATTCTAGTTATTTCGTACTATAATTAACCCATTTAATCTACTTCAACACTTACAAAAAACAAAATCATTACCTATGATGAACTCTAAGTAAACTTATGATTACACTTTGATTATTTACATTTTAAAGTGAACATACTTACGAATAAAACCTCTGTCAATGTTTCCACAAAACGAGTTTTTATAAATTTGAAGGTAATCATACTGACAGTTGACTTCATCTTGAAGGGAGAAGTCTAGAAACTGGAGTTCCAAGAAGCAGATATTATTGCTAAACCTATTAATAGTGTAAGAACAATCTAACGTGTTTCCATAGTTCTCAGGGTAGTTTGGAGAAGTTAAATCGAACACCTGGTCACTGAATTCACGGTGACAGTGATGACCAGATATTGGTGTATCGGTTCGAGAAGCACATTCCTTTTGGTGAACCTGAATCAAAAATCCAGGTCTGGGGTTCGCTCCGTCTGAATGAAATCGAAGAATCTTCTCGTTTGTTTCAAAATGTAGGTTCCCTGTAAGATTAAAAGTAATTAATAAATTGACCTTGAGATATGAACCTTCGTAATAACAAAATCGCTCGTTTTAAAGCCAAATTTATTAAAAGGAAAGCCAGTTAAAGAAAATAAAAATAAAATAAAGATTCGACATTTGTTACATATCGGCATGAAAGTGTACATTTTAATTATTTAAAAATAAAATTATTGAAGTCAAAAATGAATTATCCCTCTGGATCATAGGTAAATTTACCGATTTACAACGGTTAAATCCGGGATTTGATTCCCAGTGGAATCATAGCCCACTGTGTAGCTTTGCGCTAAAGTAAACAACAACAACAGCAAAACGAATGATGAACACATCGCAAGCTTATACATTGAATTATGCAATTTAGACATTTTTGTTGTTGTTGTTATACACGGCGAAACATATTTTTACTATGAATATCATAACATCAGTGAAAATAATAATAATTACAGCACTTAAACACCACGATAACGTAATACGTTTATGTTTGGTCTTCGGTTAGCGTCACTGAAGCGTACACTAATCATCTTTGAATTTCAATTCTTGAGTGATAAGATTCAGATATAATTACAAAACCAGTATTAAATGGATTGGTTTGTTTGTTTGTTTGAAATTAAGCACAAAGCTACACATTGGGCTATCTGTGCTCTGCCCACCACGGGTATCGAAACCCGGATTCTAGTGTTGTAAGTCCGCAGACATACCACTGTGCCACTAGGGGGCTAAATGGATTGAAGAGAGATTTACGTGCAGCTGTTAATCAGTATCGAGTTCAACTACTTTTTAGGGCATTCTAGCGTAAAATATCTTTTTAACTGACTACAATCCGATCCGTGTTGGTTCCGAAAAAACGTATCTTTATAACACTTTCGCGAAGAACATATATCCCCAAAATTTCAATAAAAGTCAGGAACACAGTTTAGTATGTGTGTGTAGACTTAAGAATGTTGGTAAAATATGCTAACTAAGGTCAGGGCTCACCATAGGACCTTAATGTTGACCCATTTTTACTGGGACAGATTGAACCCCCACCCCCACACACACACCTCCTAAGCCACTGTAGGTACAATATATATATTCATTATATACAAATGTCGGTCAAATGGATTCACATGAATGTCATTTATGTTCATATACTTATGAACGTTAGTAAACTGTTTCATATGAAGATAGTGTACATTTATACAATTGTGAATGAAGGGAAAATATCTTTAGTTGGAAAAAAAAAAAGCTACTGATACGAAGTACGATTTGAAGACAACGCGGAGTTTAATCTGAGGGTAGAAGGACCTGAGTAACTTGATGAGTTGGGTTTTAACAATAATACTGTGTGTTCCAAGGTGAGGAACAACAAGTGTTAGAGGGAATTTGGAACATGTTTGGATATTAATTACGAATGTTAATGAAAATGTTTAAAACGAGTGCGGTAAGTTTTTATAACTCTCTGTAAATGTCTTGTTGCGCCTGTCCTGCTGTATGGTTGCGAAACGTGGCAGATGTACAGAAAAGACGAAAACAAATGTATTCCATTACATGTGAACAACTGCATCGAATATTGATATTATTATGAAAGGATAAAGTATCAAACATCGAGGCGCTGAAGTGTACAGAAGAATGTGGCCTGATTTTGATTTAGTCAAACAAAGAAGATTGAGATGGATGAGTCACATCATAAATATAGATGACACAAGAATTGTGAAGCAAGTGATGAATTGAAAGGTGGAAGTAGAAAGGGAGGACGACCACAGCTCACGTGCAACAAATGCATTGAAAAAGACATCAGCGAAAAAACTATCAGATGGAAAGAAATGGAAAAGATGGCGCTGGAAGGAAGAAAGTATCGTCAATGGACGGCCCAACATGTCAGGAGACACAGAATGGAGTAAGTGCTAAATAAGTAATATTTTTATAAACTTAACAAAGAATGCTGGTCAATATTTTCAATACGTACAATATATTTTCATATACTTACATATATGGGTAAAATGATTTCAAATGAATATAATGTGTATTTATATACTTAAAAATACTGGTTACATTATTTTAAATGAATGTTATACGCGTCCATGTACTTACTAACAAGATCAGCAGGTAAAGACCCACAGAATCGTTCTTCGTCTACCTCGAGGTAATCGTACTCACAATTCTGGCTAGACTCCACTTCAAAAGATATAAAAATCAACTGTAACCCACAGATGTTGCTCCGGCGTCTGATAACATACTGACAATCTAAGTTGTCCTCATAATTACTGGGAAAATTCTTACTCTGGATGACGAAGTCACGTTCACTGAAGACATGAACACAGTATCCAGGGGCTTTCTCTGGCAAGAATAAATATTGGTTGATTATTTGAATAAAACTAAATGTTTTTAAACAGAGTTGTTGTATCAAAAAATACCTCGAATATAATTGTTTACAATTCATATATTCCATACTATGAGATGCTAATGTTAATAAGAGGCTAAACTAAAGAAGAAAGTTTCCTAAAAATCTTGGACATTGAAAACATTCGTTTTCAAGGGTGATCCTAAAAATTAAAAACAGCTTGAAAGTTTAAGAGAACAAAGTTACACTTATTAGCAATATTTTATGATTTTCCGATATTAGCAATACCGACATAATTTTTTAACATTTTGTAATAGTTGATTTAGATTCTTCAATAATATTTTTGACTTTTCGGTAAAGTTTGACTTCGCTAAGAAAAACGTTTTAAACTTTGTTTTAGGTCATTGATTCCTTGGTTTATTTCATACATCATTTTGCCTTTTTTTTCACAGTGACATAGTTTGTTTCCTACCTTCGACAAAAGTTTGTGCTTCTTCACGCAAAAATGCTGATTTGGATGCTCTGGAAGGAAATGAAGAACCAAAGACTTCAAACTTTTTTAAAGGTTCTGAACTAACTCTTTTAATTGGCTGGGAGTAGTCAAGAGCCACTGATGGATCGTCTCTGCTGGGAAACTTTGGTAAAGAGCCAAGAGGAGTTAACATCCCTGAGCAATGGTTTTGTTGAAATCCAAGCCTGAAGCCTCGCTTAACAGAAACAGCGTCGGTCCGAAAAATCAGTGCCACGGTATCCCTTATGCCAAATGATATTGTTCCTACAAGGTAATATAATCTTGTAAATTTTAGTTGAAGCAACATTTCGACTATTCTTTTTACTTCTTTAAGCACAAAATCTTATTCCAGATTTGGATTTAGCCATCCTGTAAACCTATTAGTAAACAATTATCATGCCTGGGTGATCTTTCGTACATATTTAAGCACCCTTTATTACCCCTCCACTTTATTACCCCTGCCAAGTTTGGTCCTGCTAACTCCAAAGCTGTCGGACAAACAAACTCGCAAACGTGTAAGGTGAATCAATTGAAATAACTATTTTACGACCAGAAACTCTAGAAAAAAAGATGTAAAATTACAAAACTTACATTCTACATTGATTTGGTTTCGATGCCTTTTACGTTGGTGCCCTTAGTAACTATTGACATTTAACATGGTAATTTTCTTTAATTTTTTTGACCAGAGAGAATTATTAGTGTGAAAAACTAAAATGATGTACGGGGGAGAATGGTTTGGACTGACATCATGAAATATGGCTGGTGAGTTAAGCAGTAACAAAGGAAGAGTTAATGCAAAGTTTCATATGAAACGTAAGCAACAGGTTAACAGTAACCAAATCATTTTATTCTTCGTGTTGTACATTATAAAATATTATTTATGTCAGACCAGCCAATCTTGCATTTACAAAAAAAAATAAAGCTATAGCAAAAGAAAGTTTCAAAAAACGATTATATTCGTCATTTTTTAAAATAATTAAGCTTCAAGATCAATATCCAACTTACGTGATCGGCCTTGTAATGTGGTTCCACAAAACCGTTGTCCATCTACTTCAAGATAATCTCCAAAACAACCCGCGGTATAATCCAAATCAAAGTCGAGAAACCGGAGAGTTACTGTACAAAAGGTTCTATCGCGTTGTTTGATTTTATACATACAGATCAGATTGCTTCGATACTTCTTTGGGTGCCCTAAACTGTGAAGTTCTCCTGTTTCTGAATCTGTGTACACGTTACAGGAAGGAGGGGGGTAATAAACTATAAAACAGAAAAGATAGTTCCTCTGGTTGTAATAAAAATGCTAGATATATTTAAGAAAATACCCAAATCCTGAATACTATAAAACTTAAAAAACAATTTCCACTGGTTGTTATAAAAATTCTGGATGTATTCTCAATCCCTACAAATTTCTTGGAATAGTGGTTTCTCAATTTTGTGTCGCGTCAAGTTCCCAGGGTTGCGAGAGTTTCACCAAACGAAGAATAATTAAAAAAATAAAAACAAAAACGAAAAACTGTACAAAAAATATTGTATGTGGCGGCAGGGGTGTTACGCAAGGTAAATTGGTTAAGGTGTCGACAGTAAAAAAAGTTTAAAAATCACTGCCATGATGGCATGTAGTTAGAGAGTTAAAACAGACTTTCCAGATATTACTAAAAGAATTAATCTAAATAGCTGGTCTCATGAATTATCTTTTGATTAGGAAAAATAAAGTCGGAAAACAATATTCATAAACAATGGAAAGCATTCTCATTTCTTTAACTGACTTTCCTTCTTTCGTAGTTGTTTATAACAGAAATCTGCCCACATCTAATGATCAGGTATCAGATAAAGGAGCAACCATCATTCTATTTTGATGTTAATTTTATAAAAGTTTTTCTGTCATGGGTCCTCCAGTGAGACAGCGATAAGTTTATGGACTTACAACGCTAAAATATGGGGTTCGATTCACCGAGGTGAAAACAGCAGGTAGCCCAAAGTAGCTTTGCTCTATAACAAACAAACAGTTAAACTTCTGTCAAGAAATAATATTAACGGCTGTCAAAATAAAGAGGTTTGTTCTTCTTAATATTGTATATAGTGGTAATATTTAGTAAGTAGGTTGAATAATATGGGTGTTGGGTTAAGTATTCTTCTACAGTAGATGTCTGTGATTTGTTGGCGATAAATTCAAAAATAAACGAACAGCACGCACTCCACATACAACATATTCTTTACACTAAAGCAGCGTTTCCCAAACTATGTTCCACGGAACACTGGTGTTTCGTCCAAGATTGACAGGTGTTCCGTGAGAAATTCATGATTTTAAATTTTAATAAAATATTTAACACTTTTTGTTCGATCATAACTTATTATGAAATATGTTCCTATGTATTAGAATTAGATAATATCGATTTCGCATTGAAGAAGAATTATAGAAGATGCCATATCTATTCTACATAATATCTTAGTGGAGAGGTTTGTACCTAAAATATATTATAGGCAAATAAATGTAAAAATTCATTAATGTGTAATTTTATTAAACAAATAAATGAATGTTATACACATCTAGAGGGCACTGCGTGCACAACATACCCTCTACGTCGATATTTCAAGTGTCTAGTATTCCTTAAGCTTTTTCTCACCTGAAAAATGTTCCGTGGCCAAAAAAGTTTGGGAAACGCTGCACTAAAGAGATCATAGGCATATCATAAACACTATGTATAGTTCTCTTATTGTTGTCAAAGTCCACTTAGCCTATTCAATTGCTTTAGAATTTCAGTTGACAAGTCGAATACCTTTCTCTATTTCTATCGCACTAGTATTCCGTGTATAATTCACTTAAAATTATAGCGTGAATTACCATCTCTTCCAGTAATTGTCTAGTCCTCGTACTTCAGATATTGTCTGTTCCTTTTGTCAAAGTGCACTCAGGCTGGTTCAATTACTTTAGAACTCGCTTTGACAAAATAAATTATAACTCTTATCTATTTTAAAACTGTTAGTTTTTCTCTAACATATTAATCGTTAGGCCTATATTAACCGTTAGGCCTTTCACACATACGACAGTTAACTTTACGTTTAATTTTCCTTGGCTGAACTTCTACTTCCCGTGATTTTACTTTCTCGTCTGCTCTGTATGTCTGCTGTTCCCACTCGTCTCACACTATTTATATATTTATCACTGCTCGCCTTCTAGAAATCTCTATATCTTCGACATCAGTAAATTTCACGCGATGTTCGATAGCCTCAACATCAATAAATTATAAACACAACTTCCAATAATCGTCTGCTTTTAACTCTCTTATTTAGAAAAAACTAAACAATCATGAAATATTAACAATGTGTTATTATAACTTAAAACATTAAAACGTAACGTCAAGAAAATAACTAATCTGATGACAAGATACGGCATAAACTATTGTGTAATTGTAGCTTAAAACATTAAAAATCAGGAAAATAACTAATCTGATGACAAGATGCGGAATAAACCAATGTGTTATTGTAGCTTAAAACATTAAAAAGTAACATCAGGAAAATAACTAATCTGATTAATATTACAATTGATTTGGAATAAATTTCATCCTGGAATAAGGAACCTTTAAATAATTCCATTCATTTGACAATGATAATAATGTGATTAATCTCTTTTTAATGTACTGTTGGACAATTCCAAGTACTTGAAAATGATACCATTGTAATTATTGTTCTGGAGTAATGTATCTTTAAAGAATTTCAACGATAATCATTATAATTATAATTACTCACCCGGATTAAGGTACCTTTAAAGAGTTCTATTCCAACTGCATGATAATAATATTAGCAAGATACTCTCTCGATTAAGGAATGCAAAACATTTGAAAGTAGTAACAGTGTGATTATTCCTTCAGATTAAGGTAGTCTTAGATAAATCCAGTCGTGTAGGGATAATATTAGTGAATTAAATTCAGATAATGTGAGAACAAACTTAAGTAAATACCATTTATGAGAGAGTTTACAATATCCGGTTGTATCTAAAGGGCTAGCGCAAAGATTTAAGTAGAGAACCACAGGGCCAGGCATGGCTAGGTGGTTAGAACGCTCGACTCGCAATCTGAGGGTCGCGGGTTCGAATCCTCTTCCCACCAAACATGCTCGCCCTTTCAGCCGTGGGGGCGCTATAATGTGACGATCAATCCCAGTATTCGTTGGTAAAAGAGTATTCCAAGAGTTGGCGGTGGGTGGTGATGACTAGCTACCTTCCCTCTAGTCTTGCACTGCTAAATTAGGGAAGGTTAGCGCAGATAGCCCTCGTGTAGCTTTGCACGAAATTCAAAACAACGAAACAAACAAAGGGAACCACAACGTAAAATATATATATACGTCAGGTAAGACGCATTGTGATATTATATACTAAAGTTATTTTTTAAAAAATGGATATCTTTTAAAAATATTATGTTATAACCAGACAGCGTTATTTCAGACAGTTACTTATAGTAGGAAGATATTTTTAAACTCACTCAACAGGTGTTTTAGGTGCGTATTCATATCAGTGTAACATATGGAATAACTTATGGATTGGCTATATATATAGCGCTTGATAGTCAGAGTAAGTGATGATATAAGAAGCATTATAGGGTGGTGGCTACAATTAAGATCTTTACACCCATAACGTTGGTGATATTAATACAATGCTATTGCAATAACTGTATATTGAAAATTTTAAACGTGTGGAAAGTCAAGCCTTTTTTCCGCATTATACGTACTTAGATGTATGTATATTGGTTTAACACATTAGGTCAGGATGACAAAGAAAAGCACTCAAAACAGGAGAACAATCGTAGCAGCAAAGCTTGAATCCTCCGCTCGACACCAGGGGGTGTCTGTGGTGTGTTGCATCCCACCACACTAGTGTTTCACTGGACACCGAGAATATATAATGAATCCTCCGCTCGACACCAGGGGGTTTCTGTGGGGTGTTGCCCCTCACAACACTAGTGTTTCACTAGGCACCGAGAATATATAATGACTCCTCCGCTCGACACCAGGGGGTGTCTGTGGTGTGTTGCATCCCACCACACTAGTGTTTCACTAGGCACTGAGAATATATAATGAATCCTCCGCTCGACACCAGGGGGTTTCTGTGGGGTGTTGCCCCTCACCACACTAGTGTTTCACTAGGCACCGAGAAGATATAAAGTAGAGAAATTCTGATGTACCCTCTTCTGGAAAGTTTCTAGGTTAGATTTACAACGTTACTGGAAATGTTTAACCTGGAAAAAAAAACAGCTATAGTAAATCTGTATGATATCCTATTGTGAGATGTAAAAAGAGAAGAAAAATCGGTTAGCTTACCATTCCCAGGGTAACAGTCCTTGGTTTGTCTGACATGTATATTAAAACCCGATCTTGTTATCTGTGCATCGCTAATAAACTTAATATTCATTCTGTCTTCATTAAACATGAAAACCCCTGTAAATAAAGAAAAGCATTGTTTAGTTTCTAATCATCAAATGGATGAACAACAAACCTGTACCTGACTTATTTATATACTACTTGAAAAGTTCCAGTACCAACACAAGAATTTGTTTAACAAATGTATGTACATTAACAATATATTGATAAGGTTTACATTAAGGTGTTGACACGATCGAATACAGGAACGTTTGCTTGAGTTACGATAAATTCAAAACACTAGAAATGTCATCAGTTTCATTACAGAGAATTAAATATAGCTTGTAATTTAACTGCTGATGAAGAAAATAGAAAGTTTTACCCATATCTGTACTATTAACTTGAAAACCGCCTTATCACATTGATATGTTAAGATGTGAAAATTGGCTCACCCCATAAACTCCAAACCCGCCATGTTAAAAAGAGCACGAATATACAGTAAGGAAAAATCCAAACAGTATGAGTGGTGATGGGTGTAGATGTCGCTATATCTGAGTTCTAATAATGCGGTTTTCTCTTACGTATTCCAAAATTAATTAGGGTGATACAATGTTTCCGATTTCCAGGTTGTATTACAAAGTCTATGCTGCCCGTTTTGGAGTTCAGCTTTTTGGTAAAATAATATCATTAAATTATGATTAAGATGGGTATAAAATATGGTGGGTCAAGGCTGCAAAACTTAGAAGCGCATTACGATAAGTTCTTTGTTTGTTTGTTTGAAGGCATAGCTACATTGGGCTCTCTGCTGTGTCCACCGCGGGAATCGAACCCCAAATTTTAGCGTTGAAAGTCCGTTGTCCTATCAGGAGACATTAAGCTATTCATGTGTAATCACTCACGGAAGTGTTAAGGCAGATGTATTATATGGTGAATCAGGACAGCAACACTTACAAACACACACCATGGTTAACTTCTTCATTATATAACTTTCAGGTACGATTCACATTCAGTCCTATACTGAGTACAGTTATTCGTCTCGCTTCTGTTTGCCTTGCTGGTTTTGAAGATTTGTAAAATATTTGTGTCCTGTACCTTTACAATGAGTATATCATCATTCCCATTTTTTAAATAATAAACAATCTCTTTCCCCATCCCCCCCCCCCCAGTGGCATGGCGGTATGTCTGCGGACTTACAATGCTAGAAATCGGGTTTCGATACCCGTGGTGGGCAGAGCACAAATAGCCCACTGTGTAGCTTTTTGTTTAACTTCAAACAAACAAACTTAATATGCAATTTAATTTTACCGTCCAAGTAAAAAAAAAAGGGTAAAAAAAAGGCATTTTTCTAGAGCCTTAAGTTACAGTAAAAGAATGACTCACGAACTGCTTCCGAAGCGATGATGCCACATAGCTTTTGTCTGTCCACTTCTAAAAAATCATAAACACAGCCATCACTCGGTTCGATATCGAACTTCAAAAATTTTAGCTCCAGCCCACAGATGTCTCTGTTCGCTCGTTTGACTAGGTAATGACATTCTGTGAAAGTGTGATAACCACCAGGATAGTTTGGACTTCTTAAAAAGAAATTTTCTTCCACGAAAATACGGTCACACGATGAGAGTGGCTCTGTGAAAATCAGATTTTTACAGAAAATTAGCTGTAACAGATGATTAACTATAAACATATCACTTAAGACAACTCTTAAACAGGTATTACATATACAATAAACATACGTATACAGCTCTTAAACAGGTATTACATATACAATAAACATACGTATACAGCTCTTAAACAGGTATTACATATACAATAAACATACGTATACAGCTCTTGCACATATAATACGTATATATACAACTATTACATAGCACACACACACACCATTTTTTGGTTGCTCTAGAAATATTACGCCATCCCTTACCGAATTTTGAAAGTGTTTTATCAAACTTACAGACCTTTTATGTCGCATGCATTAATAAACTTTATTGATAAAACAAATGAAGTCTTACTTAATTTTCCCAAAAGAAACTACTACTAATATTTCTACGTTTTTGATTAAGATCAAATACGCAATTGATCATAACGGGAAGTAATCACTTCAATATTTCACACTGAAGTTGACAAAATTGTTGTGGAGAGAAGTTTTAAATTATAGGTGTTTATCTTAAAAAAAGTTCAAATCGATCTAAGCATTGCGTTGTATCTAATGCACTTGCCCCCCAGTAGCACAGCGGTATGTCTGCGGACTTACAACACTAAGTTTTAAATTATAGGTGTTTATCTTAAAAAAGTTCAAATCGATCTAAGCATTGCGTTGTATCTAATGCACTTGCCCCCCAGTAGCACAGCGGTATGTCTGCGGACTTACAACACTAAGTTTTAAATTATAG